TACATTTCTGAATCTGGTCCTGATAACAGAAGAGTAACATTTATTTTTTACAAATATTATATATATATATATATGTATGTGTGTGTGGTGTGTGTGTGATGTGCAAGCTTTTGTCCAGAATAAAAGATTGGTGAAGAATCATAAATGTTGTCGTAACTTAAATCATCAGACGATAAGTTTAAAAAACAGTATCCATTTATTATTATTCAGGAGAAATAGCAGTTACAAAATCAGATATCCGGAATAAATAAAAAGAATTACTAATAACTTTTTGTATGAAGTTTACTACATCGTGACATTTAAGAAAAGCCCCCGATATTCTTTTGCGAGTCCTTTTATAGCCTCTGGAAAGGCGAAGCTTCAAAGAAATGACGTCAGCGTCATCAGCCAATCCAGTTCGCTTTAAATATCTCTAGAACATTCTAAAACTGTACGTGTAGAAAAGGCGGGAAAAACAACTTGACTACGGGGCTGTGAATTTAATTCCACGTACTTTCAAATAAGAGAACGTCGCCATTAAAAATGAAAAGAAAATACAGTTAGAATTTTAAGTGTATTCTTTATGGAATTTTATTATTACATATATATATATATATACATTGAAATATATATCAGATAATATTATATATATATATATATATATATATATATATTATTGATATATATATATTATTTTTATATATATCTGATTTGGGGATATTCATTGATTATTAATTGTTATAGCAGCAAGATATATATATATATTGTTTTCATCTTATCAAAGTAATTTTATATTAAAGACATTTTTAGCTGTATAAACGCTTTTTTTAAGCAGTTTCAATAGGAAATACATGAACAATCACTGAAAAGGATTTGCTACAAATGATTAAGTAATTGGGTTGTGTGACTGTGACATAAAGTTTTTAACTATGTTACAAATGATAGAAGGTTCTAATTTCACATTGTCTCATCTGCGGTATTCTTTTACTCTTAGGAGCTTCTGAAGTACGAGAAATGATTGATAGCATGTGAGCATTATGTCTGGAAAATACACGGATGCGTCAAAAGTCAAAACTTCCCTCAGAGATCAAACAACTTCTGGAAGATAATGTTTACCATGCGTGGATGGGCATTGTCATGAAAACAATCAGTGTCGCGATTGCGTTTATGAGCCAGCTCCAAACTAAGACTCTGAAGGTATTTATAGTAAAAGGCCGAAGTGATCGTGATGTTTAGCAGTAACATATGTAGCTTTATGGCACGATAAATATCCCATCACGTGTCGGTGTACTGCTTAATGGAATTACACATTTGGGTCTCAGTTTCAACATTCATTCTGACTTACCAAATACATCACTGTTCGTATTTTAAATAGTTCAAGCACAAGACAAGCACTGTTCATTATTTACGGTCCAAAATTTTTGGAGATTGGTCATTTAAAATCATTACGGAATAAAATCTGTCTGCTAGAAATAATAAAAATTAGCATGCATCCATTTAATCAATTATTCCTCATTATTAATTATGCAAAACACCAAAATAAATGAACATGTTAACGTAAGTAACTATAAATTGTCTGAAAAGTTTTCAGTTTCAAATAACGAAGGCACTTCTGTTATTAAAAGCTTATATTAATTATGAATGGTTAATAGGAAAATGCCATTCTTCTTTGCATTGTACTCATTTAAGAATTAAAGAATATCATTTCCGTCTAAACTTCAAAGTACTAACATGTTTCATTACAGTAAATCATATTTCCTTTTAAAAGGGAAGTAATTAATCACACTAAAGGGAATAAAGCATAAAGATATCACTTAGAGATATTAACAGAACGTTAATAGAGAATAAACATTGCGTTCCATAAAATTACATTGTCTTCTGTTTTATTTCCTTTTAAACTTCCTATTCAGTTCATTAACGAAGTTCTGGTGATTGCTGCTGTCAAAATTCCAGGTACTGAGATTCGTCATTAACTAACTCTTTCAGAAACTGATCCTGGTTTTGTGAGACTTCCTCAAGATTGTTTTATTTAGAAATATTAGATAACTTAAATTTTTCCTATTTTTAATTTTTACGAATGGTTATTTTTATGTTGAAACTCTGTACGGTATTACTCAAATTGGAAATGTCTTTGCTATATCCATAAAACTAAGACAATTTATTTATTGATTTTATAAAAATAATAAAAAAATGAAGAAAGAAATGAAAAAAAATAATAATAAATACGATCTGAAAACGATCAGATTTTAAATTAAGTCCAACATGCGTTTTTTCATTTATAGGTACATACACGTTTGGACATCATTTGGACTAATGTCCCATTGCGCTAAAAATATGTAAAAACAACATATCTTTTAGAGTTTCCGATAGACAATCTCGTGAGCTGGAGATAAAAATGTTTTATTTTTTACAGTGTTACCACTGCTCGCTTTGAAATTGTTGAGTTTTTTAATCAACAATTCGTTGACGTTTTACAAAATATGAAATTGACACTAAAACAAATTCCAAATTTGGTCTTGCAAGTGCCCTTCTTCAGGCTGAGGACTATGTTATTCAAAATTTGATGAATCTAGGTACCGTTGTTTTTCAACAATGTGAGAAACATACATACATTCATGTAGATTCTTCATTATTTAGTTTATTTAAATATATAGGCGATAATATTTCGTGGCAACAATTTGAAAAGTGATTCGGACATTTAAAGTGATTCGACGCAAAATGCCGTAATAGACCTTCTGGATTAGAAATATTTTATAGGCTTCTGTATAATTTTACAGCGATCTTTAGTATCCATATATAGAGTCTTTCATATGGTTTGATCTCTTTGTATTTTGCTTTCATCACGGTATACTTCTAAAGCCGCTAATACGTCACTAATAACCTATAACTGATTAATCATTTAAAAGTAACTAATAATCAGTGAAAATCTATAAAGTGATAAGAATTTTTGGAAGCAAGACAGCTGAAAAATGTGCACAGCCCTTTCGAACTCCAGTCCAGTTGATAGCTAATCGAACCTAATTCCTTTACACCACGCAGGCACGCCACAAGGAGGAAGAAAATAACTTAAAACGTCAGACTAACTAATGGAAAGAACAGAAATGTGATCGCCGAAGATGCAACTTCCAAGTACGAAGGACTTGATTCCATATATTTAGGGGTCTTTTGAGCGTATTCGAAAAAATAATAACGAGTTTTTGTGAAAAAATCAGGCAAAGCATCCCTCTCTGGAAAAGACAGTTCCATTCCTTCGCATGTTAAGTTGTAATCCGTTAAGTTAACCTGCATAATTTATTTTGTCTTTGTGTACTTTTCATAGTATATCTTAAAATCAAACCATTACCTTTCGTTTCTTTTTTCTGCTAGATTTCCTGCTTTTTTTATCAGTTTTTTTTCCAACTAGGTTTCCAGTTAATAAACCTTCGAACTGAAGATGACAGTTTTATAACATTTAACCCTAAACTTTCGAACGTGGATTACAAACTATTTTTGACTTTTCCTGTCTCCATGTCTACAAGGAAATACAGATTTCAATTAGAGCGAGATTCTCTTTCTTTAAAGGCGTTTCTCTTTTTCTATTAAATTAGGGTATTTAAATATAAGTTGCAGACATTGTATACTTTAATGTTTCCAGTTCGATTATACTTTCTCTTGTAGGTAACATTCAAAAGCAATTCGTTTACACTTTCAAAAAATTTTGGAATGCTTGAATTATTAATTTTATCTTCAATTTTATTGCATTCCTGTCTATTTCTTTATTTAAAAATTACTGAAACTATTATTTGTATTAAATTTGTAACCCAGTTTTTCATTAACTTTGTTAGAGATATTTTAAAATTGAAATTCTAAATGTCTTAAATAGTTCTTGAATTTGCAGTTTGATTATACACATCAAATTAATTTTGTTTAAATGTAATTAATTTTATATGGCATGTATTTATAAATTAACTAATTTCACTGTAAAATTAATATCAAAATAAAATTATAAAATAATTTTACGATTTTTAAATTTATGTTATCCTTGTATGAGTTGTTCAAAATAACTGAAAATGTCATAATCGAATGTAGGTAAAGTCATAAAGAATTTCTAAAGTCTCTTGAAAGATGGAAAAAATACTATGATATTTTTTAATTACAAGGTTTATACCAAAAAATCCATTTTCCCTATTTTATTAATGAAAGACTTTAAAAATTATCAAAATGATTTACAATAAAATCACATAAAATTTAAACCTAAAACAAATAATTTATTTATCTCTATATAATTATTTAATTGATATAACTGGCTATTAAATAACCAATTTCTCCTTTTTATAGCTCTCTATGTATGGGTAATATGTTTCTTCGCTTGAAGTAATAATATTATACTGATATCAAGTTAGATGACCAATATACTTTTGAGGTTTTCTTTTCTGAAGAGTTTACCTTTTACAACATGCATGCATTTAATGAAATGATAATTTGGATGTCACACTTGCTTGTAATAGATTTTATTGAAACGTTAGTATTAATAATAATTTATTTCCTGATTAGTTTTTCTTAATCCATATAATAATTCTCAATGAAACTTAATATTTTAAAATTTTAATTATGGATATCTACGAAATTAATAGTTACTGTTTTATCATTTCTTCCTCAGGAACAAAGAATTCGAGGGTTCAAAAAAATTAAATATCAAAATATGACTAAAATTTTTTTCTTTCTTTTTTAAGATTCATCTACTGGCTTCCATTTTAAGAGAAGCTGATAATATGAATTCTGCGGGTGATTATTACTTCAGTATTCTCATCATTCTATCTAAGCGATACAGGTGAGGGGAAACGAAAAGATGTACTCTTAATTAGAAAAAAATTATAATCGTATGATAATTTCAATACATTTTAGCATTTTAAACTGTGATCAGCTATCTGAATATAATATCATTCATTTTGAATTTTAACTCATATATAAAGTGCTCATTACAAATAGTCAATATTCCATGTTGTATTAACATTTTAGGAAGGTGTTAATCAAAGACTTACCTCCAATTCGTTATCATGGCACAGAGAGAATTATCACAATATAATCTTTCCAGTTAAGTCAAATAACTCCTTCAGCAAGCAGATGATCCACAGACACCTTCTTCCAGCACTCACATCGACAACTCAGCTCCACTCGTGCAGGGTGGTCCGTTAAAATGATCCAGTGCGTAACGGAGATTCGGGATCAGAGCACGCGTAACTGTCTATCCGTCCGTCGCTGGTTGAGATCGTTCGCGCAATGGAAAAGGAATATTCACCGACTAACGGTTTTGTTTTATCCGATTCTTTTCTCAGCCACCCCTGAGTCACGTGGTATGATGTCCAGCGGGTTAGCCTCGTTTTCATCCCCTGAGCCACATCCTTATAAAAGCGACCCGATTCTGAGGCGCGCCGTTTTTGAAAAAAATAGGTTGGGGGAATGCTTACAAATTGAAACGGTGTGCACTCACAGCAGCTTTGGTAGTACCGCCTTTTTTTTTTTTTTTTATCGTACACTACTTTTTTTTATGTTTGGAACACTAGGCGCGCTGTTAACGGAAGGTAATATATGTTATGTACGGATTATTTGTGCCGGAAAATGCATGAAAGAACAAAACTCAAATTCTAATGCAATGCTTTATGTCAATTTATAAATATAAAATTCAGTACCTTTTTCCTTCGATGAGCGCCTCGTCAAAGGTGGTATAAGTCTCTTTCTTTAATTTTTTCTATCCATACATAATTCAAGACAGGATATAATATACCCAAGCTCACTTGTAATGAAGTATTACAATTTTCCCAAGATCTGAGATTTTATTCTAATAAAATCTTGGCTTTTATTCTGCTATTAAATTACATTATAACAGTTTTAAACTGTAGTAAAATTGTAGACTAGTGTTAATATATAGCGTTTTAGAAATTAATTTAAGGAAAATCTCTATTTACAAATTTATGTTCATTTTATTCCTTAAGGAGAAAAGTTTTTGAGTTTGCCTGTATTCCTCTTAGAGATTATTCTTACATATATCTCTTTTTTATTTCCACAGAAACATCTTTTTCCATCTCCATCCAAGACAGAACTTCTGAATTTTATTTGATAGCCGCTTTAATTAATACTTAGGAAACCGTCATCTTTCTTTCTTCTTCTTTGTAAGATCCATTAGAGATAGCGTTGATGAAGCCATAGACCACTGGTAGTTCTTTTCGGATTCAGCTTTTTGGGACTGAACTGGCTTCAGGGAGGCTCATGATTTTGAAGTTCTTCTTAAGTACGAGAAGATTAATAAACAGTTTCCCTTCGAAATTCTACCTCAAGTGAATCCCTGGAACAGCTTTCGAGTACTTTATATTCATAGACAACCTAACCTACCCGAAGCATTTGGAAGGCAGCAGCTCAATATCAGAATGAAATCCTTTCGGAAGTCCACGTTACCCTTATTGATTTCAGAAATTCATCCATGTATTAGGATCAAACTTTTATTCTTCCTTAGGAAAGCAGACGGTAATAAATAATTATACAATTATCACTTCTGCCAGTCATCGAGATGGACTGATAAGCATGCCCAAATTCGGCTCGTGAGCCGCATGCTGCTCTTTGGTCCCTTAACAGCACGTTACCTTTTGACCCCTTCAGTCAGACTTTCTATCGAGGAACATTTTTGTTTTTTAAATATATTTTAAATAATATGAAATGTATTTTGAAGCAGAAATTGTACAAACATACGTTTGTTTATCAATCATCAGCAATTTAATTTCTTAAATTACAAAATCTTTGTATCATTTTAAATAGTCTCAAACTGGTCATTGCTAACCATCAGAGTAACAAACAAAATGGTGGATAATTTTGATTGAGCAAATTATTCTGATGGATATATTGCCTTTAGGGCAAAGCTAATGATGGCTTTGATTTGGGGAAGAATTTGATATGGATTGATGTGCAAACTTTAACCAGTAGATCATGCTCAATAAACTAATCGTACTTGATCAGCAGATCTCTTATATCCAGTTCCATATCGCAGTCGCACAGTATATCCAGTACATCCAGTTTCATGTTGTAGTCGCAAATATTCTACAAATGACACTTTCATGATGATTAGTTGGCAATTATAAGCAGAGATAACTCTTTATTTCAATTATGATCGCCCATGTTGAAATTTTTTGAGTCATGATGAGGATGGATTTCTCCACTGTACTGGCAGCGATTTCAAATTTGATTCAAAATTTTTGATCTAGTTCAAAGTTTTATCAATAGTGAATTTGCGAAACAGACATCTTTCAGCTTCACCATCAACTCTGGTTCCAATAATGTTGCATCAAGCAATGAAGGATCCGTCGTGTAAAAATTGTCTTTCCTACGAAGCTTTTTCCAAACTGCGGCATACTAATGATGGCGATATTTTTATAGCTTATATTTTCTCGCATTTACTCGACGAAATTCTTCCTTTCTAGCTAATCGCAAGTGTCACAGTTCTGTCATCTGCAGAATTTTTTTTTCTTTTTTTGCTTCTTAGGCTTTCGGTTTTCTTGTAGGTCTAAGATAAAATACTTCACAAAAACGAATAGCCCAATGGAACTGCTTCATACTGATCACATAAAATCTCAGACTATGCACTGTGAAATTCTTTTGAAATTTTAGCATGCAGGTTTTAATTTTAATGTACGATCTCTGATTTTCTAGAGATATCATCCCCCAGAAGTTTGCAAACTCTCTTTCAAGTATTCTTTATTTCTAAGTGCAGTACTCGAGAGAACTGAAATAGGCACTTAATTACCTCTTAAATTGTAAACGATTAAAAAAAAACCTGAAAGGTTTCAGATTTTAAATTACGTCCAAAGCAGCATTTTTTTAACATTTTGTGTGCTACCTTTATTTATTAAATATCATGTTCTTCGCCCTTAAACCATAAAATTCAGTTCAAGAGCAATATCGGAAAATATATCTTTAGAATTTCCGGTACACAATCTTCACGCGCTGGACTAAAAATGTTTTTTCTGTACAACGTTGCCATTGCTCGCTTTGAAATCCTTGAGTTTGTTAATAAAAAATTCGTTTAAGGTTTATAAAATATAAAATCGATAATAAAACAAGAAATTTGGGCTTCCAAATGCCCATATTTGCAGGAGGATTACGTTAGTCAAAATTTGATGGCTCTAAGTACCGTTGTTTTATCACAATATACATTTAAACATTTATATTTATTATTTTATTTTTTATACATTTATGCAGATTCTTCATTATTTAATCTCTTTAAATGTAATGCAGGGCGATAATATTTGGTGGCAGCAATTGGAAAAGTGAAACAACGCTTGTAGTGAATAAACGCAAAATGCGAAAACGAAATTAATAGTCTTCTGTTCAGTTTGTCCCTTTGGACTAATAGTGCAGTTATATGCAACCTGCTTATTAGCATTGTTTGGTGTTAATATAGGTCTCATTATAGGAAATGCGAATTTCAGCTGCCAAACTGATTGAAAGGTTTATAGCTGGTCCATTATCTAAACAAACGTATATCGAAAGATATCGCACAAAAGAAAAGAAAACGTGAAGAAATTCATAAATTATGTACAAAAAGGAGAATTATTCATTCTTCTACTAATACGTAACATTAGTGAACTGCATCATAAATTTAATTACTCCAGATATCCTTCTCTGGCGTAGTCCATACTTAAAAGAACAACAGTTGAAACTTGGGAAGGGTGTAAAAGAATCTTTATTAAAACTAAATGAGAACAGAAGGCGCACTTGTACTTACAACTCAGCCAGCTTGTGGTGAGATAACCTAAAGCAATAGTAAGTCAAATGACAAATATAAATTTAAATAAACCTGTAGCCGACGGCTACACAATCAATTTAATGCGATGCTGGCTCAGAACTTACCGTTGTGGAATTCAAATAGTGGCACTTATAATGTAAGGCCAAAGACAAGAATTCTTATCTATTATAGCAACCTACTAACGTGGCCACGAGAGGCAAAACAGGCTCTAACTTAGATTCTGGAAACATTCCTTTAAATACACTTGAACTAAATTTGCATTCTGGCTCGAGAAAACGGAAAAGAAGAAGTGACAGCACAGATTCAAAAAATAACAAAACTAGTTAATTAACAATGGAACCTCACACACTTTTAAACGGAGTGACTTCTAGGATAATACAAGTAACATTAGCATCTGACCAATAACATGAATCTTTCATATTAAATTTTCCTCAAAACATCGGAAAATTTCTGTGATTAATAAAAGCTTGAATCTTTGAATCTCTCTTGACCTGTCTGAATATTTCTTCGGCAAAACGTTTTTACAGATATATAAGTGAATCTTGATTTAATACCTGATCATCCCAATTACTCTGATTTTTTTGATACACTTAGCTCACGAAACTTCGTTCTTATTGTTCAAACTGAAGTTTTCATGATAAAGGTGATATTAAAGAAATTTTATTACGATTGTATAACTCACTTTGCATTTGTGTTAATTTGTGCATTATCTTTGAAACGACTTATCCTCATACGCTTTAATTTTCTTGTATCAATATGCATTACGATGTACTGATAACGTGTCTCAAATATATACGAATATATATACAAAATATCTATGAATATGTGTAGTTTTTAACTTCCAAACATCGAATGCGAATCTTAAATGATTATCGAATCCTTCGAATAAGAATAATAACAAGACGAAGAAAAGCAAAAATAAATTATTTGATATTAGAAGTTTTTAAATACGGCAAATATGAAATTTTGTGCAAGAGAAAACAAATTTAGTAATGTACAGTTAAAACAATACACCTATATTTATTATATTTATTAAACATATACAAATTAAACTTAGAAAATGAAGTACATAATTAAACTCTTGTATCTTGAGGTTAATTTTCTCAACATAATTTAACAAACCTATTTGAGTAAGAGTTCATATTTTAATTAACAGTTCAAAATTCAATAAACATGTCTGAGTCGTTTAAAAAGTAGCTAAATGAAACTCAACGTTAATATATCATGGTACGTGTTTCTTATAACATCCAGTGTAGGTTACCTTATAAGGTAGTTCTCTCGCTTTCCTGGCGGGGTGTAGTGGTCAGCACACTGAGCTGGTATTTCAGAGGTCCGTGGTTCAATTCCCGGCGAAGGTTTAGGAGTAATTACTTTGGACTTGTTCTTGTTTGGACCCAGTGTTCTAAATCGCTCGCTTCAGCTTCTGAGCCCAGGCGAAAATTGCGCCGTAATCCCTTTTCTCCCTGTTATTTCTCCCCTCAGAGGAAACTCAATCAGGAATTTTCTAATACC